TCCGATCTCCCCAAAACCCCAAAACCCCGTTTTATAAGATATACTGCAAATATTATTATATAAAATTAATAATTATATATATATTGAAAGATTTAACAATAAAAAATTAATAGAGTTATATCCTAGACATTAAGGAATTAATTTGAGATGATCAAATGAATCAAGCCATACTTGTAAATAATGCAACAACTGTGAGGAAGATTCCAGCCATAGCTTGAAGCCCTATAATTCCAAACTTTCTTTCAGCCTTTAGCTTTAAGGTAGTTGTCTCAGTTCTCGATTTATCACAATCGTAGAGATAGTATGACTTTGATTCATCTGGCTTTAAGTTAAGTTTAATCACCTTGTCGTCTAATTAAGTCAATTTATATGTTGAAATGTCATTTGCTGTACCTTATGTTAGTTCGAATAGCTTGAGTGTTTTCAATTCAGGGACATCAATTTTCATGTCTATATTTTTATCTAGCTTGTTTATGAACTATAAACCCTCAGTCTAACCTGGTAGGAGATCAAATGCTATATTAACAGCTGTGAGACAACCATCAGATGCAGTGAAATTGTATTCACCCTCTCCAAGATTGAATGCTCTTTAGTTGTAGGCTTCAAAGTTGTTTTTAAAGCACTATTCATTTGCTTCAAGGGAGCCAGATGGGCAAGTGCTTTTAGGTTCACCACATGAGCACTCACTGAAGGCGCAATCTTAGCATTTGACTATTCCAGGGCAAGAATCTTTTCTCTAATCAAACCATGATTTGACATCATTTGCGAGGAATTAGTTGGAAGACTGACTTGGAGTTTAGCTATCTTGCTTAGGCTTAGCGTCATCAACTGTAGAGGGTAATGGCTAGGTATCAAGGACATTCAAAGTAGGTACCAAAGTTTTATTTTTGTGTCCATGCTCGTGAGTCTTGCTGGCATGATGATAGTGTTTCTCAGCCATACTTACTGAGAACAGAGCCATTAAAGTTATTGACTTCAACATCTAAATTTTCTATATTATTTTTATAATTATTAATAAAATTTCTTAGCAATCAATCTATCTTTAATTTCTTTCATTAAAAAATTAACTTTGGGGTTTTGGGGTTTTGGGGTTTTGGGG